GAACTATAGGTAGGTACTAACTATAATGGTATGCTAAGCCGTTCGGGCAAATTGACGATTAGGTATTTGATATATTCACGTATTTTATTCGTCAAAAATGCAAGTCGCGGAAACTGGAAACCCGTTTTTATATTATACCTATATCGAAACTGTATTATATTAGTATCAATAGAGTTACGACCCTTGCAACTAAATGTCTCTCGAAAAGGCAAAAAAATCAAAAACCCCGTATTTATATATTATATTGGAGATTATGCAGGAGATTTCGTAGACGATCCGACAACGACACAATATTAATAGTGTAATTACCGAGCGGCGCGCGATCTCGGGTTGCCGAGGCCAAATAAGGGAACGCTGCAGCTAATCCCGCGGGTGCGGGCGTCCCGAGAGTCGGGTCCTGGATAAGATTTACGATAAAGATCGACTTGCGCTATTATTATGGGTCGGGTCCGGTTAGTTGGTTACCGGGGAAAAAAAAGGTTACATACCAGTCGGGCCCAGAGATTGTTTCGAAAACGGCACAGTGGCGGCGGTGTTAGGTATATTACGACGACGATCGATTCATCGCGGTCATTTGAATAACATTATTTTATCTAAATCGCTAATCATTCCCCGACTGAAAAGGAAAATGGTGATTTTAAGAGGTGCTGGGAATGGTTTTTCAAATTTGCTCAGTTTTCGTAAAATTTAAAAATTATTTTTCGACCGTACCATTATTATAAGACAACTTTTCCACTGATATACTGCCGGATACTAATATAAGGAGAAGAAGTACACGATCGTTTTACGGACAAATATGACGTTTTATACTAATAAACTGGAGTAAAATTCATTCTGCACTACTGCTTGGCTAATTTTAATTTTTAAAAACATTAGAATTCATTGATTTCTTATCTATATGTTGCGTAGGAAATACCAAATATTTGTTTATTGTTTTTGGATTCAGAGCGGAGCAAGGGATCTATTGTCTTTACAATTATAATATGGGATTTTTTTTTTTTATAACTGTAAACAACTATTCCAATAGAAAATTTGCTCCAATCTAAAAATGACAAAATGCCTTTTTTGTTACATTTTAGATCTAATTAATGCAAAAATGCATTAGAGTAGTATAGATTTTATGCACTATTGCGCAGCAAAAACCCCATGAACATGCATGAATTTGGTTTTTTTTTTTGCTCGAATTTTATATTTTTCTCGGTTTTTTTAATTTTGAACCGGTTTATTAATTTATATTTATTATATTATTATATTTATTTATTATAGTTAAATTATTTTTTCCAACGATTAAGGTAAATTATTTTCAAGTTTTAATCAAGCACTATAGCTGTCAAAGTTGCATGTCATATTATAATCTAATAAATAAAATAATCATAAAACATGTATATTTGACTAGTGCTCGACTAAAACTTGAAAATAATTTAACCATGCTGTTTAAAACTGTTTTTAAAACTTAAAAAAAATAACTATATTAACCCAAATCATGACCAAATATATAAAATATAAAAAAAACCGAAAAAAATATAAAATAAAAACATCGAAAACCGGGAAAAATAAAAAAAAAGAAGTTAAATTCATGCCTGTTCATGCGGGTGTTTGCTGCTCAGTAAACGTACAAATCTAAACTACTCATTAGAGGGTTCAATTTTTGACTACCCAAAGAATTTTAAAAAAATAATTAAAAAAACCTGAAACAAAATTATAAGAAAAATGGACAAATATGTTTACACTTTATATTTTCTACCAGAATTATTACTCCAATAGAAAAACGACAATTTTATCGAAAATTTAGATTCGGAGCGTAACTAGATCTATGATTTTCTTTTACCAGGTATAACACTTGTGTGTTTTTTTTGTGTATGAGCAATTTTTCTACCAGAAATCAAATCTTGATCCGATAAATCAAGTTTACCATTTTTTCTGAAAGGAAATTTTTTCTAGATGGTGTATTGGGGAGGTAATTTTTTAATTTTTCAAGGGACTATAAAAATAATTAGGAACAATCCGAAAGAAAACTATTGGTAAAACGGCAAATATTTACAGCATACTGCGATGTTACCGATTTCATTGTTTTTAATTTTTGCAAACCATGTTTTTTACCAGAAATCCAGAAATATTGCTTCAATTGAAAAATAATAAGAGATCGATTTTGTTCCTTTTAATATATAGCCACTAACAGAGACGTTGGTATTTTGATATCTCAAATATTTATCGCATTAATTACAAAAATCAAAAAAAATGAAAAATACATTTTTTTTAAATTACGGCATGATAATTTCATTATCTTTAATTTTTACGACTCAGATATTAATTTTCTACTATAAATACTACTCCATTAGAAAAAGAGATCTTGTTTGATTGATGATTTTAATCTAGTCGGTGACCAAGAAAGTCGTTTTTTTTTTATGTTCTTAGTAGTTTTTTTTTTAAATAATTGAGCAAAACCGAAAAATACTTCAGCTTATTGGTCTAAATGTATATAAAAAACTAATAGTTTCCAACTAAGAAGAAATTGAACTGCGATTTAATGCATTTAACTGCATTTCTACAGGTGCTCGTCCAAAATCATTGACGATTCACAAACGGATTGATGTAGGTAGTAGTCTCTACCAAAAATGTTCGAAATTTTCATTTATATATGTATAGTATAGTTTATGCAGTATACACTTTAGTATATACCTATATAACTATTGTTTATTATTCTTTTACAGATGGTGTACCCCGTTGGTGGGCATCAGCGTTTGCCTAATGTTGGCCGGATGCGTTTTTTCGTTCAGCGGACATTTGTACAAAGATCAAAAAACCCTCATTGCGTCCTCCTTACACACGCTGGCCGGTAAGAATATAATAAAACACGTGCATAATATGTACTGTCTAGTGTTTACAATAGGAATGTTCCGGCGTTTTAAACAGTTTGATTAAGTTTACGGTAAAATATTCCAGTTAGTAACAATTACTGAATCGCCAAACAAAAAAAACGTAATTTTGGTTACCAGCATATCTGATAACACTATCACAAATCATAATTCACGATTTCACATTTTACATTATTTTTTTCAATTTTCAACTTCGAATATTTATCCGCGTTTTTTGAGATTTCATAGTATGATAATTCATTACTAATTAGTTATAATAGATTAATGATGATATAATGCCGTTTATATCGAGTTAGGTATAAAGATACGTTGTCTCCAGTTTTACACAAAACTTTTCCGTTTTGAATTTGAATAGATCGAACCTAATTTTAATATATTCAATGAAATAAAATTCTATTGTAACAATTATTTTTTTTATAATAATTAGTATTTAAACTATGATTAAGGAATCTAAATTAAACATTTCATTTTACATAATATATATATCTACGACATTAGCATATTTTACTATTGTTTCGATTTTTAAGTAGGTAGGTAATATTATATCAGTACGATTTAAAATCAAATTTATTTAACAAAATATTTGTTCTGATAGTGGATAACGTACATCTTTTATCTCCTAATTTTTTTTTTTTTTTTGGGAGGGGGATATTTTACTCCATGATTCACTAAAATGTATAGAAAATATGCAAAATAAAATTAATATTAGGAATTAAAAACCAATAAATGTAAAAGACAAACAATTTTAAAAAAGCGATACCTATATTAATGTATTGATTAAAATTGACAAAATATAATATAATAAATTAGTATTAATATTTTAAGTAATTATTTTATAAATTTATCATTTGGTTATTTTTAAGAACATATTCTTGTGCATATTTGTATATTTTTTAGAGCAAGAATAAAATCCTCTGTTGTTACATTCGTACATAGGAACTGACTACACCCTAAACACGAGAAAGCTTTTCGCGGATAAATGTTCGTTTTTTAATTGGCGGTAATTAAATGGCGAAAACGAAATACTGAATATGTAATAATAAAATACCTTTTACTGCTTATGGGTGTACCATTGTTGTTGGCGGTAAGTTAGAAAGTAGGAAACGGAGATATGTAAGTAGGAGTTTTTTCTTTAAATCTATATGTAATGATAAATCCTTGTTAAATAAAATACTATAAGTATTATGGTTATCATCAAAATTTGAACATAATATGTGTATATGAAAATAAAAACTTTTACATTACGCTCACCTTTTTTCTCTTCCAAGTACAATTTACAATAAACAGTGTTAAATTTTTAAGCATTTCTGTTCAGCTAAAATAATAGTTTTATCCACATAAAAATCAAATAAAAACAAAAAAAAACTTATATAAAGCAAAATAATTTTCAGAATCTAAACACAATTGTTCACGTTTAGAAAAAGCTAGTATAAGTATTGTGTGAAAATCCCAGGTCTCTACAATTGTTTTTAACAATAAATATGTTTCAAACATTTACCTCTGTATTAATGATAAATCTAAATTTTTAGTTTTAAGTTACAAAATTAAAAATAAAATTATTTTTACATTATCACAAAATATTAAAAGAAAAAAAAACTTAAAATTTTAATTAGTGTAGGAGTGAGTCACCTTGCCTATGGCCTTTATCTCTGCTCTCATTTTTTTTTTTAATTGTTAAAAGTGTAATTTTGTAGTTTGATATTTCAAGCGATTATTGTTGTATTCATCTATATTAATTTATTTACTGGGTGATATCAATTATTACAAAAATTTAAAACATAGAAAGCATAATATGGCCATATAATAGAAAAATACAATATTTTAATATTAATATAAATTGTTCACTACATAATGTTCTTAAGAAGACTTTGAAATTCAAATTAAGTATTCAAACTAATAGTGTATATATGGTTTAATTTTCAATGTATTTCAAAAACTATAGATAGAATTAAATATTAATGGAAAAAAGTTCATAAGATTCATAAGTTCATAAGTAGCGATTTTACCCTATGAACCCTACATAATTAATAAAAAATAACAAAAATATTTAGTATTCAAATATATATGTAAACTTTATTAAAAACAAAATAACTGGCACATTATCCAAAAATGGCCTAAATATTAATATTTTTAGTCAGTATTGATGCGCAAAATAAATTTGAAATAGATTTTAGGATAATGTGTGAAAGCATTGTACTAACATGATTACACTTTCGGTTCTAAACTGTAATCATTTTAGTAACATATTGAATTTTTTGATTGCAAATGGGACATTTTTTTGATGTACGCCAAATTTGTTTTGCACATGGGTAACAACTAAATATGTGGCCTATTTTTTTGTGATTTATTACTCCATTTTTTGGTGCACCCAAACATATGTTACAAATGTTTTTTATGTTTTTTATTTTTTTCACACTATCATTAACATCTTTTTTAGTATTTTCGAGTCTTTTTGAGGCTTCTTTTTGAGTATTTTCAAGTCTTTTTGAGGCTTCTTTTTGAGTATCTGAATCTTTTAATTTTTTTTTATCATTAGACCCGTTGGACAGTTTTTTGTTTTTCCGCTCTGGGAAAAATTGTCTTCTTTTCTAAAAATGTCAAATAGTATTATTTAATAATATCATTTAATCTATAAAAATACAAAGAGGGCTATAGTCTAGGCTTTCTGTACAACTTAAAAGTATTATATTTTCTTTACTAAAATATTATTTAATGTATTTAATCAAACTGAGAAAAAAAAATATTCAAGATAGTGGCCAAATATGTTTTCCTGAGAGATTATATATATATTATTTATATTTACATCTTTAAAATATTGTACATTTACATTTACTGTTACAAACTAACTAACAGGCAACCTCCTTATGGATAAACTTATGTTACTTAAAACTATAAATTGTGACATTTTGGTAGAAATTAGGTTTTAAATACAAACAAAATAATTTAATAAGAAGCATTTATATTCAACATAAGCAAATCAATTTAATTTTACTAGACAACAATACCATTTAATCAATGTCTTTAATACCAGAAGTGTTATTGATGAATTTATTGTAGTACAATTTAAAATGTTACACAATTTTAGGTTAAATGTATTTTACTATAATTATTTGTTTTTTAGAATATTATAAATTATAATAATTCATGGTATGGAAGTTATAGTTGGTATCTGTATTTTTTTTCTCTGTCTGTCTTATAATAATTATGATGATTCAAATTATAAAGATATTAACTAGATATCTAAATAAAAAAAATATGATTACTAACTTTATAGCATGAAAAGCAAAACTGGAAATACGGATTGTCATTTTCTTTTCTGCACTGCAGACAATTTTTGAAGCAAAATGGTGGTAATAAATCAAGACTAGTTTCTGGAATACCATCTGTATCCTCAGGGAAGTATCTATCACTACTATCAGCCAGTTCATTATCAATTTTTTTCGACACCTAAATTTGTTTAAATTTTCAAATTAATACATAATTATTTTAAAATATGATCACTTAATTGGTTTATAAAATATTCTCTAAGTTTTGTCTGTTCATTAATTAAAAAAATAACATTTCATTTACATAAGTTGATAATAAAAAAAGTACTACAAAATTAGAAATAATCCGTAAAGAAAATTCAAATAATTTTAGATTCTGAACGAAGTGTGTAATGTATTAGTTTTACAATGGTATTTATTTACTTTTTTATTATTATCTATAAACCATTTTTTAATCCAAATATGGATTTGCTTCAATTTTCAAGTGTAGTATTTTTTTTAAAAAGAAATTTTACCTGGATAGTACTCTAAACATGTAATATTTTGATTTTCTAAGCTGTTTTCATAATAATTAAGAAAAAAATATATATAAAACACGTAAATTGTAAAGTTTATAAAATTAATCATATTCAATTTTGGTTTTTGTTTTGATTTAGTTAAAAATATTAGTAGAGACTTAGAATTTTGACAGAAAACTCATATTTGCTCTAAATGTAGTAAACAAAAAAAATAAATAAAATTGAGTGTAATTGAGAATTTTTTTTATGCAAGAATTTTAATATTAGAGTTTGATGAAAATCTTATGTGTAACTAAACTTCGCTCAGAATTGTATTTCATTAACAATAAATTAATTGTTGCATATGGATATACATTAAATTCCCTTTTATATCCTACCTTCCCACTTCTCACCTACAACGGTGTCCTACCTATTGTGTGAAGTATGTCCGTATTTTTAAACACAAAATTTAAACAAGGATATTTTAAAATAAATTATAAATATTATTAATATGTATAAGATAGGTTTTCTCAATGAGGTTTTAATTGTATTTCCCATTAGATATTAAGGTAAAACTGGTGAACCTATGACACCTATAATTAAGTAAAGGTTTAAGTGTATGTGAATAAAACCATATTTCATTATATATTTTGCTATACTTATCTATGTTTTTTCCAGAATGGATGACCAAAGTAAAGAATTATTATTTATTCAAATATTGTTTTTTTGGTTACAATTCTTTTGAACTAAATATCCTTTTTTCATAAATAAAATAAATAATAATAAATATATATTATTAATGAATTGAAAATAATGACAACATGTATAACTTGTTATACGAAATGTATGAAAATTCCATACTTTTCTTAATACTAGAATTGGTAGCAATTATATTATAACCATATTATAAATATAGACTATTAGGATTAAAAATGTATTTTATCTGCATATCTAATAATTAAGAGATCACATTATATTTAACACATTTTAAAAATAAACATTATCTATATTCAATTTTCACCTTATAGTCTTCAACTGAAGAAGAATAAGAAATAAAATCAGACATAAAATTATCCGATGATGGTGATGAGCTGCTAGCTACTTCATATTCTGTATGATTAGAATCTCTACACGCCATACAGCCACTTCTACAGCTACTTTGTTCTGATGACAGATCACTCATGAGCTCAACTAAAAAATTAATTAAAATTAAAACTTATAAAAATAAAAAAACTTCAATTAATAATAAAAGATAGGCTTAGTACATAATTGACTAGTCAAATAAAATATATTTAAATTAAATTGTTTCAGATTTTCAATTTATGCTAGAATCAAAATAGAAAATATAATACGAATTTACTCTTTTTCTCATAAATGAACTTTTACTAGCAAGTTACATAATTACTGCAGCTCATAGTTTTAAAATATTCAAAAACCTAACATATTGCATGGAAATAAATGATATTGATGAAACTGAAAAAAAAAATAGAATTAAACTGCATCATTTGTCTAGTATATAAATATAAACTGATACTATAAATGTATGTATGTCATAGAAGGTAAATAAAATTAAAATTATCATTAAATGAATAGTAAACAATAAATTCTAAAATAAAATTGAACCTTTAACGATATATTGCTAGATAAATGAAAAATGTAAATAAAACAAAAAAACTTAATACCCTAAGTACTTTTATAAAAATATATGTATAGCATAAAAAAATAAAATAACAGTTATAAATAATTTAAAGCCATATTTTTTAAATTATACCACATTTAAAAATACTAACATAAAAAAGCATATTAAATATATTTTATACCTGTGGATTTTGATTGCACACTTAAAACACTTTCCGCTTGGTCTGAGTCGTCATTTCCTGATAAATCAGGTATTTCTTCAACAATACAGTTATACATATACAATGATCTCTGACCCCCCCATGTCCGATCAAGAATGTCATTGTTTAAATTATCTATAATAAATAATGCATTTTAAAATATAGGGTGATTATTTTTTTTTATCATGAACCAGTTTCTCAGAGGATTATAAGTAATATTGTTTATTTAATTTTTTTAATCACTGTGGAATCGGTTAAACTGTATTTTAAAACTATAATTAATTTTTTGTTCTATGTTCAATTTCATGTACCTTCAATAAGTATATACTTTTGTTTTTTCAAATAGGAACCCTCCTTTAAAATACAAATTCAATTTTCTAGAAATTTTGATGTACATAACACTAATATCAGATAAATAAAACAGTTTCAATTTTAGACAGTAGGAATAGGGAAGGGTAATAAATTGCATATCTATTTTTAAATAATAAACTGACAACTCATCCCTACTCTTCTGGTAAAAACTTTAAACAGTTATAAGTCATAAACGGTGAATTCAATATTAGTGTTATTCATACCAAAATTTCTAAACAAATATTTTTTATACAAATCTATGTTCAAAAGGGGAGTTCTTATTTGAAAAACTAAAGTATAAACTTATTAATGGTATATGAAATAGGGGTATAAAATTAACTATGATTTTAAAATAAAGCATAACCGATTTATCCACTGAGTACCTATCAAATCAAAATTAGGTAAAAAAAACTCTTAACATTAAAATGTCTAAAAATATAATTCAAAAATGACTTAAAAATGGCTAAAATGTTTTGAAAATTTCATCATATCCAGAAAAAGCAAATATAAGTTTTTTGTCTAAATTTAAAGTCTACAAATATTTTTAACTGAATCACAACAAAAAACAAAAAATTATTTAAAAATAATACAATTCGTACATTTTACAATTGTTTTCTAATTATTATGAAAACTGCTTGTAAAATAAAAAATGACCTCCCTAAAATACCACCCAGATAAAATTTTTTTTCAAAAATAGTGCAACCTTTGAAAATCGGAAAAAGTTTTACTCAGAATCTAAAATTCATTAGAAAAAAAAAAAAAAAAAAAGAGTACTTAAAATAATTGTGTGTAAATATCAGAAACAATTTTTTTTATTAATTGTAAGAATATATAATATGTATTTTTCATTGTAAAAAATATTTTTATCAAAAATGTATTTTTATTTTACCAAAAATCTATACATGTTGGGATTTTGTGAATCATTTTTAGAATCTGTGACCTTTAAATTATATATAATGCAGCTTGAAAACAATTTTTTGCAGACCTATGTTATTTAATATTCATAATTATAATTTACTTTTTAAATATATACAAAGCTACATATATGTGCATATATGTAACTACAGCCTTGTAGCTATATTATTTTTTGTGGTACACAGCACAACACACTGAACAATATACAACGGATAACAGGACTATTTAACAAATATAATAACATTTTTTTTAATCTATTTTTTTATTTTTTTATTAATATTTTTAAGTTTTTTTTTTTAACAGCTTAGCTGCCATGAAACCTGATTTAAGATCTCACATTCTCTTCCCTGCTATGAGTTTTTAGAGTATGTTTTTTTAATTTGGCTAGATATTCATTGTATTGAACATGGATTAAAATCAAAGAATGTGTTATCATTTATCAGTTATGTTTTTTGTATTGTATTAAAATATACATTTAAAAACAACATAACTCTTTCAAAAAAATACCTGTTTAGATACTAAAGTAGTGTAGTGTAGTGGTTACACTGTATAATTTAACTATTCCACAAAAATCTTAATAAATGAGTTTCTTAAAAAGATCTCATTTTTTAAAAAAAATATCATCTGAGATTCCAATTGGAATCTTGTGGCAAGCAAGTGAAGTTTTGGTGAGATCCCAAATCAAATATCATAACAGGCAATTGAAGTTTTTAAAAATATATGTGACAGTCAAATTGTTTAATTATTATTAACCCTGACACTATAATTTAAATATTGGTTTAATTAAATAGTAATATTTAAGAATTTGAAATAAAAGATACAAAATTGTTTAAGGGAAACTTTTAAAAAAAATTAAGATAGCCATTTTGGAAATACAATGCATACAAAAATGTTGGTGTCTAAAACTTTTTCTAAAGTTAGATCAACTATTTTTAAAACATTTTAAATTTTGTAAAATCTGACATTTTATGTGTGTTTAAATGTTCCAAAAGTTAATTTAATATTTAGATGAAATATCGTACAATTTTATAATATTATCATACTAATGTAAGCTGCAAGTCTGATAAACGCTTATCATTTATCATTGTGGCCACTGCAAAATATTAACTGTAATAAATGTAAAATCTAAAACTGATCCCCCCATACAACACGGTCAGTCTTGAATGACAATTAATATAATTGACGGTCAAAACTGATCATTGACTGATGGTTGATAATTTTCATTTGTGGTCAATCAAGAATGACAATCAACGTAATTGACAGTCAAATTTAAATATGTTTGAATTTTATCAGTCATAGAATTTGGTTGTCAGTCATACACATTAGGGTAATTTGAATTTTAACAAACTTTAAACGTTTTTTAAAAATTATAATGAAGTAACCTAATTGATAGTTTAAAACATCAACAATTTTTTTAAAAATGAATTTATAAAAAAGCTATCTTGATATATAAAGAAAAATGTGAAGAAAAATTTAAAGTTTTTATTTTGAATAAATAATAAAATAAAATATGAAATTTATAGAGTCAAACTTACATGTCAAAACTAATGAGTTCTATAATAATAGAACTTTTAAAATTATTTATTTATGAAAATTGCATTTATATATAAATTGTATTACAAAAAAAAAAAAAACAAATACCTTTATCTGATGTGAAATCAGAAGTCGTGGCTTCCAAGTTATGGTCAATTGTTATTTTTTGGGCTAAAATACAAATTAATAAACATGAATTAAAAATATGAAATATTATCATTTGGAACTAATGCAGTTTAAAATCATTGCTCTTTTTTCTATTTTTTTTTTTTTTTTTTTTTTTTTTTTCAAACTGTGTTAATACAATGAATTCAAGTATTTGGAATAATTGTGGCTTTATTATTGTAAAAGTTATGTCAAAAAAACTTCAAAAATCATTTTCTTTTTCTTAAGATTTGTTATTTTAACGCTAGCGCTGATGGTGCAATCAGTATTTTTTGGTAACTATGTTTTAGAAGGTTAACGGTTAAAAGATTAAGGCTAATCACTAACGAAAATTAGTAAACAAATGTTTAGTAATTATAGAAATCTTTGGATATCTTACAGGAAATCTTAGCTATTTGGAATTTGGTATACACAGTATTAATCAGTGATTTACCCTATGATTATTTTAGAAGTTACTAGGTAGTGAGTGATTTGAAGACAAATACATTTTTGGTGCACATAAAAACCAGGTGGTGTCACTATTGCTCGGACTGTTTTAATTGAAAAAATCCCTAAATTTATTATACAAAATCACGATAGGTAGGTAATAGGGAAAAGACAAATATATTTTAGGTGCCCTTTGAGACCCAGCGGGATCACTGATTTGCTGTGTTCGTTCAGTTTGTTTTAAACTTTTTCCTTTATAAAACTTTAAACATAAACAAGAGCTACAATTTTTCCAAACATAATTGAATTCAGTTCAATAACTTCAAATTTGTAAAAAAAAAAAAAAAGCAATGAATGCTAAACTGCATTTATGCCAAACATACATGATTTAATTAGTTAATAATATTTATCTAAAATAGTATGTATTTCAAATTACAATTCATCTTTACTTATTGTATCTCTTTTTAAACCTGAATAAATAAAAATAAAAATAAAGTTATTACCTACTTATTATTAGAAATTGGATTTAAAAAAAAATTATATAAATATAAAACAATTAGTATGAAATAAAAAAAAACCTGTATCTATTTTACCTGTGTCTGGTGTGGCATTTAAACAATCTTTTAAATTCTGGTCAGTTATTTTTTCTTGGCCTTTTTTGGCTACAAAAAGGTGCATTCATAAATTCATTTTCGAATTTTTATTTATAGTAGATATTAATTATAAATACCTGAGGTATTTTTAGTTTCTATCGCTGCAGTTAAAAGACACTTTTTAATATTTGATGTATTTGAATTATTCAACTTTTTTCTTTTGTTTTTGCATAATACAATATGTTGAGCCCAATCGGTTTCTTTATCTGCAGCACCCCTTTTTTTTCCACAAATCAAACAATTAGTTTGATTCATTTCGATTTGTACACTTCAATTGTTCACTGAAAAAGAAAAACCATAAGTTAGTAACTAGTAACACTCAAGTTAAATTGACATAGTAGGTACAGTTAAAAATAGTCGTAAATAACTTGTGAAAGACTCTCAAAACATCCAATGTTAAAACAACACGTTTCCAGAAACTTGATAAAGATCAGGTACCTACAATAAGAAAACAGTCCGAAAATACAACAACTACGTACGACCGAGCCATAGAAGGAGACGCATGAAAGTAATATTATATTATGATAAACAATAACATTTTTAAAAGGTTAGGTTAAAAAATTGTTTATCTATCCCTATAAATTATACACAAAACAAAGGAACCCATATAAATTTAATATTGGACAATAAACGTATTTTATTATTATAATATTATATATCTTATGTATTTTTAGAAACCTAATAATAGTAATAATCATTGGTTACTAAACATTTTGTGTTACTTCTGAAAGTAGACATGTTCACATCGTACGTTTCCCCCCTTTACCATAGACCATCAAGATAAGATTTTCTATAAGACCGTGACATGTGCTATTAGCGTGTTTTATATGACTGCACTGGTGCACATTTGTATGGTCATATTGGAATATTGGAGCACTTAGAGCATCTAGTGCAGGTTTTTTTTGTTTCACGTACGCGCCACTCTACCAGTTTCTTACTCCGAGTACAATACTTATTACACGAGTTCATCCGATATAGTTACGTCGTTATCTTTAAACTTTAGAACTCCTCAAGCTCGTGCGCACTGCGCATTATCTTTTGTTGATAAAGGTGCCTATCTTGAATCACGTATATCTATACTTTACAATAGTATAGTTCACGGTTTAAGATCTTAAATCGTGATATAGTTATCTGTGTCATGAATTTATAATTTTAAATTTTTTTATATTTTATAATTTGAATCGATAATAACGTAGATATATAAAAGTACTAAATAGCGACAGTCTATACCATAGACATATTAACTGTATAAAATGGCCGCCAATCGTTATCTAAGAAGGTGACTGTTTACAAATTAAACTGATATGATACTATTTTGGAAGGCTAAAATATTTTTATATATCTATAGGTATCTTAATTCGTGGTGGGTATTAGGTTCGAAAACTCAACTCGAGTTAATTCTGTTATCGTTCGAGATATTAGAATTATCTCTACGATGCCGTTTGGGAACGCAGAATTTTGACTCCGAGTTAACTCGAATGACCCTAGATAAACAGGTAGGTTTTTTAACTCCATTGATAATGATGCTTATCTCATAATGATAACAAAATCAAAATTATGATATAATAATTTATACATTTATTACATTACCATTCGAAATTTTGAACTAAAATAACGATAGTAACTCAACTTTTCTAATGTCTATTTTTATTTTTATTTTTTAATTCATTGTTCAATAATTTCCCTAATGAAACTAATACCTACTATAAATAGATCTGTATACTGATAGACCATCTTACAAAAATTCAATTATATAGTTTTATAGTAATTAATACTAATTTATAGTTATAAATTACTACCTCCTACTGTTATTTTTAACATAATTAAACGTTTAAATATTTGTATTTTGAAATTTAAAATTTAAATGTTCATTGATTTAATAACTTGTTAGTACTTATCATTTAACAATACAAAATATTGATAAGAGTATATCGTTCGGTTATTTGGAGCATGAACACTAAAGAAAGAACGTCGAACACAGACGGCCGGAACGAAAAAACTTGGTCCAAAATTATCGCAAATCGCTAGAATACGCTTCGATCAGTAGTGATGTCGGTTTTACATGTAAAACATACGGAATTTATTGATTTTTTTGTTATTATAATCTAAATGGCGACACTAATCAATAATTACTATAAAACGGTTTTTGAAGACCAATTAGTCCTCGATCGAATAGATGTATTTCTAAGTATATACGACTTTTAGAATAAGAGTTATAATTGTTTTAAAAAATAATTTTCTAATTATACATCAATAAATGCGTGTTATCACACACTAACACAATCACAAAAACCTGTTGTCCACTGTTGTCATACCAAACTTCAGAGAGTTTCGGTTTTCGGAAAATTGATAAGTGACCAGTCACAATATTTCAACGTTGCCAATTTATACAAAAAAAAATTTAATTGTTATACGGGTTATTCATGGCTGCCAACCGATCTCTCCTAAAGTATCATAGTACCATATTTTAGTATTTCGTATTTTTCTATAACCGTATTTTCGCGATAACCGATAATTACCGATAATTCCAATACGGCTATACATCAATAAGTTATGCCAATTAAATGTACTTTCACCTATAATTGCTCTTCACTTTTTCTTGTTACCTACCCGACGTGGTTTTGCACAACAAATCTAGGGTTATTTTCGATTAAAATTGTCCGAGTGAGTGCAACGAATTGGTTCCTATAATGCTTTTTCAATATTCCTTGCTACTTACACGACGTGGTTTTGTAACAACATTTTATTCTGTATTGCTGGTGTAACTACATTTTTAATTCGACTTTATTTTCTTAACGTTGGTGTTCGTGCAGACCGATGTGGCTACGATTTCATATCATTTTTTCTGAAAACTGTATACTACCCATCCACAACTTAGAATTTTGTTTGAATTATTTTTAATTGACAACAGTAACCGAGCAAGATCATCATTTACTATTCCTACCAATAAATGACAAAATTAAATGTAGAGAGTTAGTTTTATATTTTGTTTTAATTATTCTTAAATTAAATAACACGTTTAATGTCAATTATCTTTGTATTACAATTATTTTTTGGCTTCAAATTCCAAGACAATCTGTTTGTGGGAATTTATTTGTTTGTGATGTAATATCGCTTAATATCACTGGATTGTATAAATAATAATAGAAAACAACTTCATTCTCTAACAAGTATTTTGAAGAGTGTATTAGTATTATTTATATTGACCAAAAAAATAAAAAATAGCTAAATCTAATTAATTTAGCTGATATTCGATGGAGAGTCATTACTATGTATTATTCAATTTTAATAAATATGAGTTTATCCAAATATGCTTTGATTTTAGGGCGATGAAAAAAGATTGAAAAACTTAGAAAGAAGTAGTAACCGTAATATGTTTTAATGAAATGCCATGTACATTCATTTTAGGGGCATTCAAATTCTGGAGGGCACATTTTATTAACCGCATACCCTGCAAACAAAGTAGATATTAAATTAAAACAAAATTTAGATTTTATGATTGTTTTTTAGATTTTTTTTAGATTTTCTGTGTCTGACGATTCAATTTTGATGCATTGTCTTTTTACATTTTTTTTTTTTTTTTCAATATGTTTTACCACATTTTACTTATTAATTCTACTAAATATTTCACCACTCGCGTGATATTTTGTCCATCGATCTAGCGTTAAATTAACACGGTTGCTTGGTAATCTGTCTTTGACCTTTTTTCTTTCAATTATTCGGAATAATACTACGTAATCAGAGCAGAACTTGAGAATATTTCGCCCCTAGACATTATAATTAATCTAGTGTACCTTTCCGTGTAAGAACAATTTGTACTGTATCTATCAAATGTGTATATTAATAATAATAGTATAGATACAGGCAGGGGCGTCATTTCAAGGCTTCAGACTGCACTTTGGCATTCCTATTTTTTAAAATGTTTTTTTGACCCGTATAAAATTTTATAAATGTGCCGATACAATGTAAAACGCTTAATACAAACGCACCATTGCGAAAGGCCGCGTCTATCAGTGTCCGGCCGTTTGGGATGTGAGAGTAAAACATGACAGACGATTAATTGTGAACTGTTAATTGTTGTCGAGGCTATTAATGTTGTTGTCTTTACAAATTGACAAAAAAATAGATGTATGATATCGAAACTTGATTTCTTAATTTTGTTTTAAAAGAAATATTTTTGAGTTCTGCAAGAATACAGGGTATTTATTATAATATACGGTCTGGTGGAGTGAAATAATTAATTATTTGAAACCCCGATTTGTTATGCAAAACAATTTTTATTTTATTAATTTCGACTTAATCGATTTTATTTCATGTGCAGTAGGTATAGTAGTACGCTACCGAGCCGCGTTACCGAATTCTTATCATTTTCGGACAATTATTTATCATCTAATTAAAATATATTGTGTGTAATTATAGAAATCGGGTATTGTTGATTTTGATAAACATTTCGGTGTTTTGTTGATGCTGTCACAGATATACACTATGGTTGCACAACGAGCAACCATAACCCAACTAGTTATTTTTTGACCAACCAACAGTAGTGTACAAATGCATATAAATAACTGCTCTAGTTATCATAAAGTGGTTATTATTCGTTAGTAATCCTGAATTTGTATCTCCTCACGTTTCCTGATTTATTTATTATTACTGCATTAATAATTCATAATTACAATTGCACGCGGTACAACAACAACGGATTTAACTGCAGATGGATCGACAAATTAATGGTATCCGTTTGTAGTAAAATCCGTTTCTATTGATATACCTATTGCACCTAACCGAATTCACTATTTTAATCACGTCATTAGGTATTAAAAATCTCCAATTTTCAAATGTTTTTTTTATTGTTATTACTATTACGATTTCCGAAGGAATTGTTGAAATCACAAAAGTCAAAGTAATATGAAATTTATTTTTGTTTTGTTCCACACAGAAATCCAATAAATCGTCATTTTTGCAGGGAGACATCGTTATATTATAAGTTCTTAAAATATTCAAAACTGCAGTAAATATTCTAAGAATCACGTCTTATCATGAAATAAGTTACAATATTATTATGCATGCGCTACACAACAAGTCATAGAAAAAAAAAAACAAGGAGTTTTATGGAAAAAAACATGCGCATAATTTTACTTCGCGTTAATATATTTTAATACTATATCAAAGTAAAAATGAATATATATATATGTATATTTTTTTTTTAACTAGCGACATTATAATGTCGAAATGTGTGTATGTTTTTTCGGTCGAGAGTTGAAGAACTTCCAAAAGTGTTGACACTAAAAGTGCCGAAACGATCATTCCCAGCCGAGATCATCAGACACAACGGACGTGATTTTTGAAACTACAATAATATTAGAATTCTCGAGGGTAAACGTGACTTTTATTGATAAGATTCGATAAATTATTTAGTAAATATAATATAATATAATAAATACGATAGAAATATATTTAAAGGTTTATATTATTGTGACGACGTGTCAAGAATAATATTTCAAATACTATAAAATAATATATTATAGTGTTATCTATATTATAATATATATAGGTAATGTTAGTATTGGTTTTATTTTTTCAAACAAATCGTTGACACATTCAATTTCGTGAATTTTGCGCGAATATCAAATTTCTTCAAGTATAATATTATATAGATACGTGCTTAAAATATAAAAATAATATTATAATGTCTAAAAAAACGTGCGTATTGTTTGCACAGAGTCTGAAAAACGATATTGTAACGTAAAATTCCAATAAAACAAAAATAAAGAAGATATACATATACCCATTTCGTTTTATTATTTTTACATTTTAATTAAAAATTTAATAATTAATATGTTATTCGATTCTAGTTACCCTGCGATAGCTCGTAAGTCGATATTAACACATTTTAAAAAACTTAGAATACTGTTATCAAGATGATAACTACACTGAAAATAAAAAAATTACTTTCTTAATGCACCAACCAGATAAAAAAAAAACAAGAAAATGGCTGTAAAGTTTTTGATAAAGGAAGATTTCTGGTTAAAAGAAAATAGACAAAATGAAAAATAAAAAATCAACACACGAAATTTTTTTGCGTAGTCAACAATAGATAAAATATCTAGTAAAATATCTAAGGACGGTAACATCTTAAAAAAAAAAAAAGACTTTTTTCAGGAAAACAATTTAAAAATGTAAATGATATTACTTTAAGATGTTTGGGTGTTGTTCAATTTATTGTAAAAATAATTTTCGTAGATATATTTACCTACATAAAAATCTTCATCGCTGCGAATTACTCGTCGTTACAAAATGAGATACCTATAATGGGTGTTATCATTCTGTTTATGAAAAAAAAAAAAAAAAAACCATAAATTTCATAACACAAAATTTTGGTATTCAACTGTAGTATAGGTACTCAAAACGTAATGAATTATACAAATACAGTTTAAACATCAAAAATATTTAAAATCGATAACGAGACAATAATATTTTACACTCGAATGACTAGGTACTTCACAACGCGCCGAGTGTCTTTTATACACCTACGGGCTACGATAAATTATCAAATTATCTGATTATTTATCCAAGAAGTTAATTAACTTTATAGAAATAAATATTGTCTTTGCGCAGTTCTCCGCATACGTGTATAAATAATATTAATCATATTTACGATTAACAAAGTAAGTACCTAACTATAATTAAGCTCACTGAAAGTTAAAATTAATTTTTTTTTGATTTCGATTCAATAATAAATATTAAAGGCCTGTATAAACGATAACACCTGGAAAATGTATTGCGCCAGACAAAAAGACAACTATTAAATTATTTAAAGTTATCGTTGAAAGTTAAAAAGGCCGATGTCCCCAGCAATCCTTTAGTTGTTTTTTGGAAAAAATTCGGGTAGATCATTTGTTCTATATTTGTAGATTTCATCTTTTGTGCCGAAAGCTCAACAAATTTACTGTTGTTTTTAAGTGTTGGGGGGGGGGATGCTGGAATAGTTATTGGTGATTTTAATTTGTATTGGTCGATTTTCAAAAAAATGACTCCGTTCAATTGTGCTACGTATTTACAGGCTTATAAAGCAAATTTTATCGTATGCATACCAAAAGCATCAAAAAGGATAACAACATGTTTTTGGTTATTATAGAAAGGGGTTTTGTTGTGATTAAATTTACACTGTGTTTACAAAAGCTGTTACAAAAACTTTTACGGATGAACGTTCATATAAACGCTTATCGTATATCGCTTATCAAATATTATATTTATACAGTTTACCATATAAATCCGATATAATAAATTGCAAGATTAAATTGACATTGTTAAGGGAACTATAGGTATTTTATAGTCAGTAGTGAACAAGTGATTTGGCATTCGATGTAGAGGTGGACATGTAAAACTTATCATAGCACTATTAGCACAACGAACTACAAACGTTTAACAACTTTTGAAGTTCTTTCTGACAAATTTCTACAATTTGCTAACAATGCCGAAGTCAACGAGTGAGGTTATTGTTAAAGCTGTTTTGAAAAATTATACTGTAATCATTTAATTATTTTCTGATTTTACATCACTTGATGTCACTGTGTATCAGTACTAAGCATGGTCGTCTTTAAACATACAAAATTCGTGTCGATGATTTAGAATAAATCAGACTATGAAAAAGCAACTTGTTTAAGTAAATTTAAAATTATTAGGATATAATACTTCATCAGATATTGGTTGTTATATTTGATTTTCATGTTGAGTAAAAAATGTTAAGTCACATTGAAATAGGTATTTTTTTCTATTTAACGTATTTCGACAAATTGCATGGTTACCTGTGGTAAGGATTCGAATCCTTATTATTTTTGAACATACATGGAACTGAATTCAAATAGTTTTAAATAGATAAAATTGATACACATACATATTTTTAATTTCGTGAAAATTGCCTATATGCATTCCCTTAAGACTTAGTATCGGTAATGTGCACTTGGCCAGTTTCTAAATTGCGCTCCCGCCGCAAGGACCCGTAAAAACACGATTGAGCATATACCTTTTTAGCAACACGATTGAGCATAGAGTATTTTATGTGACATGTTGCCATATTCAAGTTGCCGAAATTTAATATATACTGAATTATGAAATTATATTTCCAAGCTCCCTCTCTTTTTCTACTTACATTCAAACAATTATAATAAAAGCACTTAGCTTTATTATTAGAAATACTCGAGACTTTAACAACATTTTATCGCTAAAGATTCTTTATTGTGTTTTTGTTCGTTCAATACTTGAATATGGTTCCATTTTATGGAACCCATACCAACTTATCTGAATTAACAAAATTGAAAGAGCGCAAAATAAATTTCTTAGATTTATTAATACTAAAATTTCTAATTATTGTATAGTCGCCGATCATTGTTGTGAACCCCTTAGATAACTTATATTTGTCCATTCTCTTAGTTTTAGACGTTCATATTTTGACGTCATTTTTTTTTACAAAGTCTTAAATGGCACTATTGAGGACAGTTTTCTTCTTAGTCAAATTAATTTATCTGTTCCCACTTTTAACTCTAGAAACCGGCCAACCTTTCACATTACTCAACACAAAACACTTTACAGTTATTTTTCCCCTGTCGATAGAGCATTAGTCGCCTGTAATAACTTTCAAAATTATTTTGATATTTTTCATTCCTCTCAAAGTACGCTACAAATCAATATATTCTCTTTTTAACTATTTTTCCAACTTCTATATTGTATACTAGTCTATATACCTAGAACACTTTACTGTACATTGTTTTTTTTTTTTTTTACTATTTATGTACATTTTCATATTTTTATTGTTATACATTTTTTGTACTGAATGTCTTCGGGTGTGTATTTCAAAATAAATAAATAAATAATATTTAAGCCAAATGAAAAATAACAAATAAACCAAGGTAAATCAATTTAATTTATTTCGTATTATTTTAACTTTACAATAAGCAGTAATCAGCAAGTTTTACAATTTATTATTTTTATTACTATTATTATTATTATCAAACAGGTAAATTAACATATGACCATGAAATCATGTTATTTTGTTAATTCGTATGTTTTGTATTACTGTAGAACTTCCGTTAATGTTCACCTCTATGTAATGTCATTTTTTTTTGGTCCCGTTGTATTATGCCTCTACTTCTAAAGGGCGGTCACCTTTAAATTAGTATTTCCAGTCTCTTCGGTGACAGTTATATGAAAGATTTACTGTATTCTAATTATTTAAATTTATTTTTCTATAATATAGTTCAAAATTAAAAATGGCAACATCGCAGAGTAGTTTTTATACTCAATCGTGTAGGTTTTCTTTTGTTTTTTTGTATTCTTTGATACGCCGACAAATTTGCTCAATCGTGTTGTAAAAAAGTGTTTTATACTCAATTGTTTCATAACTCTACGACCAATATAAATACACGACTACGCTCGCCGACGATACAATAATTATTAGACGTCGGTTTACTTGCTGATGATTAGTCTGTTTACAAACAGGAACCAAATTGTTCAACAAGTCTTAAGCAGAACGGCAAGCACCCTTTACATAATTTATTTAACTACTCATCGGTCTTTGTAAACAGTTATTAATTTAAAATAAATAAATATACTTATCAACGTTAATTACATTCAAGTTACTTCAAACAGTTATCTAAGAATTAAAGCGTCATTCACGCATACTACTCGACTCCGAAGTCACATAACCGTTTTTTTTTTTTGTCATTCTTTTTTAGGGGTTGAAATCATTATACCTACCTTTGATTTCAAACTACATTAAAAATGTCATAAATATATGAAATTTTAGTTTAAATACATGTTGGTGTTGACATTTTTAATTTCCATCTCGTTGACGAGATATTCTACATTTAAGTTTGTATAGGGAAGAATAGTGATGCTTTATTTGTATGATGTCGTAGTTGTGCGCTGCGTTTAAATAGTGCTCCATTCCTTTCCTTCTATTCAGACTTAAAAGTGGAATGTCCCGTCAATGGGTTCATAAGACTTAAAGCTTCATCTTTTTATAGAATATGGAATTCGGTTAATAATTATAAATCAAAACTGGGTAATGTTTTCATTCCCAAAAATATCGGAAATGTAATATTTTAGAGCAACTTGTTTCTTAAATTTACCAAAAAAAAATTCTAGAAAAACTTAATACCTTCCAAGATAATGAGTACCTTATTGAGGATTGATATCTCTGTATACAGACGTTACGTTTTAAATAATTCGAACATTGGAATAATTTAATAAAATCATAATATTTCAGTAGGTATAAGCGAATAATATATAATATAAGTACCGTAATTTTCTCGAGTATAGTCGCTATATTATAAACATCAGCTACAGACTATACCTGCACGGGCATAATATTATAATACTGATGATTTATTCGTTTTGTTCCAAGAGGGAGGGAGAGAGCCAGAGAGAGAGTGAGAGAGAGAGAGAGAGAGAGAGACAGAAGACGTTTATTTATTTTTAAATCTGTGTGTGTGTGTGGGTTTTATTAAACACTATTAATTAAAAAGAATGTAGCGTAAGGGATTTCATATATAGGAATATGTAGGGGTTTTGTATAATATGAGACAAAAAATTAAAAATAATAATAATAATTTACAACATATTTTTAAAAGTAATAAACCTTTCGTGTTAAAATCTAAAAAAGTTAATTTCGTACCAAAAGAAAAACCAAAAGACCGAATAGAAATGAAAACAAATAGCGTCATTAATTATTATAACACACACGCAGTCTTTCTTGGCGTAATTATTATGTTACTTACACACGGTAGACAATAATTTAACACTGGTGAAATTAAAAAAACAAATGATAAATTAAATATAGGATGTATAATATCTATACTGCTTTGCCGGTGTTTTTTTTTTTTTTTAATAAAAATTGCCGAGCTCGTTTTATAATTATTATTTTTATTATACGAAACTCCCTATTATAAATTAGATTTTAATTATGAATTTTACCCCTAGGGATTTTTACCGGGTGATAGAATAGTATATAATAAAAGTTAATTAAGACAGTGCTAATTCAAAAAAAAAAAAATCATCAAACTGCGTGTAAAGAAATCGGAATATTTAAATCTGGCTTTGTTTGTGTTCCCCGATGATACACGTATATTGGGGAAAAAGATCTAGAAATCTGAAAAAGAATTTTTTTAAAAATACTATGACCTCCCGAATACATAAATGCCTACTGCGGATCAACGATGTGACTATACCATCATAAGCAACCTCCCTCCCCCCTCGATGTTTTGCGATCGTATAGAGAATACTATACTATATTGTAGTCCCGTGATAAGTTTTAGAACAGAAATAAAATAATATGTTACACCGCCTGTAAAATAAAAACTTCTCACGTTATTGTTTCACGACTTTTCAATTAGTTTTATGTCCGTACCTAACAGTATAAAAGTGTATTTATAACGCGTATGTTGAAATAAATGTTTTTATAGCATTTTATATATTATGTGCGTATACTGTGTATGGTTTCGATATATATATTTTATATGATTTATAATAGTCGATCGCAATTATTTATTTCCGAATGAAAAACTATCGGTAAATTATAACGTCTTCGTAAATCGATTTAATCTGGAACGTTCACGTTTACATCGAGTTTCACCAAAGCACCTCTGAAAAATAACCTAGACTTAATGCCTAGATAACGATTATGCGATTAAAGTTATTATGTTTTGTATTTCGCGTGTTGCTTGTTAAACGCAATTGTCCTCGTTATATTTGTCGATAGCGGTCAGCGGACCAAAGGAGCGACTATTGGATAATTAGGACCCAGATTTCAATGAGAAATCCATTTTATTATTATTTTTTTTTTTTTTTGGAGGTTAAGGTGGTATTATCTATGAAATTACTTTCAGAGTACTTATACAATTCTATACAAGTAGCAGATATAAGAGTACAACTTTTATTTAAAATCTTTCGCTGTTTTTCCATTTGTAGAATATTTTTCTATCATTTCGTTAGGTTTGAGCGTATATTTATATAGTTTACGAATTAATAGTTTAAATTTTAGTAGCTAAGACTTGCTTATAGATGATATGAACTAGTCATGATAATCATTTATCATTTTACGGTTCATTTTTTTTTTTTTTTATTAGTATACGCAGTGATTTACCAGCAAAATGTTGAGAGTATACAACGTATATAATATGTATAGTATACCCTATGGGGACATCACTGATACTACCTATATGTATCTATAAGTAAAATTAAAATCTTAAACTATTTATGGCACATAACATTTAACTTCGAAAAATACGATTTGACCGGCTGGCGATTTAAAATTTTCCGGTTTACGAGTATAGTACCTGTTAAACTTAATGTATACAGTGTTCTCACGCAGAATTTTATTGAATAACTATTAACTATTTTATTTGGACCGCTACAGGACTACAACTGCGCGGCTATTGTGTACAGGTTCGTTGGAGTATTGTAAAGGAGGTTTTCTATAATGGTCACTCAGTAAAGAGTAAAATTATGCTTACATGTGTGTCTACTAAAAAATAAGTGATACATTTTTGAACTCTAGTAGATTTTGTAACAAAATATTATATTTTATGTAGAAAATACTCTCACAATTGGGTGAGTGATAATTGGAAAATGTCTAAAGTTAAACGGTAGGTTTTTTTTACCTGCTTGTGAATTTTGTTTAGGAAGAGGGTATAGGTGTAAGCGGATATTCATTAAAAATGTCCTGACGGACGTCCGAATGTATCGGTCGGTCGAAATAGAAAAAAATTGACTGTCCGTAAAACGTGACATACGCAACAGTTTTGGTGAATTATAACCGCGATCTATCTATTTGAAAATTCGAGGGAGGAAGAGGAGTGGAGAGGGTTGAGAGGAATAATAGATTAATGGCGCGAGGCGTCTGTTGTCTGGTGCATCAAGTTCGTATATTATATAACATTAGTCTTTTTGGATAAGTGGATTAAACAGTGTGTAAGCGAGATAGAGTGAGAAAAAACAAAAAAAAAAAACGATAAGATCGCAATTACCTCGATCTTGTTTGCAATATAATAAACTTCTTTCAACACCTCTGAAAAAAAAGTGAGTATAATACTACGTATATATAGATACTCAAAGTGAGATTTTTAAAACAGAAATATTTTTTTTCGTTTGCAGTCCCCACGTTTATTTTTTAAACCTCTTAATTAGCGACGCCCGGGTCCATCGGGAGTGTGGCACGGATAATAATTTTAAAAACAATTCGGCCGAACACCTTTTTTTTCAACGCGAGGTTCCCTTCCGCACTTCCATCCATAACGGTGCGTGTTTCGTCGTCGGAAATGACTACACTTGTATAATAATTATTATAAATATATGCCTACCCGATAAACGAGAGGTGATTTCTCCCAACTAACTACCCGATAAAAACGGCGTCGTTGAAACGCGCAATAGATAGAGGGGTTCACGAGGCGAAAATAACGGTGGTCAATCTATTCCGAAAAAAGAACACTCACATATTACTGTACTCGAATATAATAACTAATAAGGTAGGTGCCTACTTATATACAGTTTATAGTGCAAATTAATTTTAGGAGACCCTACACCAAAATCACCCTCCGTTCCTAAATTTATTTTATATTCCGAGTGGAGCGATTGGTATTACAGTGATGTTTATTTTTTTTTCCGTGA